TATATATATATAGTTATAGACACACACACACATATTTAGTTTTATACCTTACAATTATATTAAGGGAAATAAGCATGCATACCGCACAATTCTTTTATTTTACATATCTAACACTTGAACTTTCAAATTTACATTTATTGTGTGATAAACCTATACATGAAAATGTGTATTGAACTTTTAGAAGTAGGTGACAGTGGTATTTTTATGTGATATTAAAGATTTATGTGCTATGCATGTCGATATTAAGTTGGGTGTTAGATATGTAAATTTATAAGAATTGTGTGGCATATGTGTAAATGCCCTATATATTAAATGAAAACACCGGGGCTCTGTTATACTTTGGATGATTGCCCAATATTATCAACAATTTTTTGAAATACTTGCAATAGAATGTATATAAGAAGTCGAGACTTATCCACGTGGGACTATTCTGTCACTAATGTATAAAATGTTTTGATATTTTGATAAATAACATCCTGGCATGCCCCCGATTATGATAGCTTGTTCTTGCATCGGTTCATTGAGAGCTCCTAGGTTGACTTGTGATAGCTCGGGCCAAGTTTCTATAGCTATTGACCCTAAGGGGTAGAGATACTAATTATTTGATCGAAAATCATTATAATCTAAAAGAAAATATTTATGTGTTAATGATTTGCTTCAAAAATTTTATAATGTAAAAGAAAAGTGTTAAACTTAAGAGATGCAAAATTTTTAACTTGCTAGACAATTTAGAAAAGAAACATAAAAAACAGACTAGAAAAGCATAAAACATCAAAAAAAAAAAATAATAATAATAAAAATAAATAAATAAAAAAGATAAAATTGCTTACGCCATCCTCTGAGCACCTCTCATTCTGCATTCATACTCTATCTTGGCAGATAGATGGCTCTCCTCAGGGTTCGATCTTGAGAATAACATGGTTTGTAATAGAGACTACTTGACAGGAAAAAAAGAAAGAAAACCAATAATAGACATTAAATCATCAAATAAGTTCGTCAACAATTTCGAAGTTCGAGATAAAAAAAAAAATCAGCAAAAACTTTTTGGCCATTTACATACATACGACACAATTCTTCTGTATTTACATATCTAACACTTAAACATTCATGTTTACATGCATGCCACTCAAATCTTTAGCGTCACATCAAAAATACCACTAACGCTACCTTTTTAAAAGTGAAGTACATCTTTTCATGCATACTTAAGGCATCAAGGTGTTATATTTGTAAATATGAAACTTTGGAGGTGTTGGATATGTAAATGCATAAGAATTCTGGTAAAATTCCAAAACTATTTATAAAGGGTTAACAAACGAACAAAAGAAAGGGGAAAAAAAAGGAAGATATACAAATATACCACTTAATTCTTATGTATATACATATCAAACGCCTACACTTCAAATTTTAGTTATATATGCCACCTTATGAATGAAAAGGTGTATTTCACTTTTAAAAAGTAAAAATAATGGTATTTTTTTTGTGATATTAAGAATTTGGGTGGTATGAATGTAAAAAGTAGGGTTTCTCTGTTAGATACGTAAATACATAGGAGTTGGGCGGTATGTATGTCCCACAAAAATAAATAAATAAATAAATAAAATAACAAACAGAGAACCTAATATATAACGTATTTAATAATCCATACCTGACATGCAATTGAGGCAGACTGTCTCATTAATTTCAATTCAGATGGAGATTTAATCCACCTAAGTTCATGAGTATAGCGCGAGAGATCTTTTACTGCACCATTAGTAAATGCCCTCTGAAAGGATTCCAAATCAGTATAAGATGTTGAGACTGTCTTTGTATTGTGAAATACTTTAGATGCTTTATCAATCATTTCTGAAAGGACCTGCTCTGACAGTAGTTATTTTGATAAAGTTAGCAAAGAAAAAAAAAATTGTGAAATTTAACTTGAGATGATAAGAAATAGGAAGATCGACATACACAACACTCAATTCCTGTGTATATACATGTCTGACACCTAAACTTCAATTTTTACATACATACCACCTTACTTCTGCATGATAAGGTGTATTTCACCTTTTAAAAATTAAAGCAGTGGTATTTTTTATGTGATATGAAAGATTTGAAAGATTTGGGTGGTATAAAATGTAAAAATCAGAGTTTATGTGTTAGATATGTAAATACATGAGAATTGGATTGTATGTATGTAAATGCCCCTAAGAAATATATGACCAAAATGAAAGCTGTTATGAAAAAAAAAACATCAACATCTTCACCATCACCACCAGTAGCTTCTTCGGTCTATTTTGGGTTTGACTTCCATTTCTATAAATTCATGGTGAACTATGTAATCTTTAAATCACAGGATCAATTTGCACAATTTCTAGTCTATCACTGAATGTGCAAACTATGAATTATTTGGTTGATAAGGCAAATTTATATACATAACTAACACCATAAGAGGTTCTGGTGAAGATATGAGAAAGAAAGTCACGAGGCACAGTCACTTATACTTGGCCATAGAAGCAAAGCAACAACAACAACAAGCCTTTATCCCACTAAGTGGGGTCGGCTACATGAATGCTACACTAAGTGGGGTCGGCTACATGAATCTTTTTTCTCCATTGTATCCTATTGAGTGTCATATTTTCATTTAATTCTAATAAATTAACATCATGTTTTAAACAACATGCCCAAGTCTTTTTTGGTCTACCTCTAACTTTCTTAACATAAATCGAATCTAAAACATCTATGCTCCCAACCGGATCATTAGATGGTCAACGTTTAATGTGACCAAACCATCTATGATGACTCTCTCCAATCTTGTATGCACAGGAGCTACACCAAACCTTTCATGGAAACGTTCGTTACGCATTTTGTCTCTAAGAGTCAAATCAATTATCCACGTAAGCATTCTCATCTCAGCAACATTTAACTTAGTTTTATGCTTCTCTTTTATAGGCCAACATTCTGTGCCACAAAACATTACAGGTTTCACCACTATCTTATAAAATTTTCCTTTAAGTCTAAGCGGTGCTTCTCTATCACACAATAGGCCCAATGCATACCTCCACTTCAACCATCCAATTTGAATTCTACTAATAACATCCCCATCTATGTCACCATTACTTTGAACAATAGACCCAAGTTGTCTAAAATGTTCACTTCTTTTAATGATTTGATTGCCCATTGTTCCAACTTTAACACTAGATCTACTAATAAAATTACATTTCATGTATTCAGTTTTAGACCCACTCAAATGAATGACCTTTAAACTCAAATGTAGACACTCAAATGTAGACCTCCATAATTCAATTTTATCTTGAACTCTTTCTATAGTCTAATCGACAAGAAGGATATCAACAGTGCAAAGTATCACCAAGGTACATCCTCTTATAAATGTCCAGTAAGTGCATCCATAACTAAAGCACAAAGATATGGGCTTAAAGTAGATCCTTGAAGTAATCCAACTAAAATAGGAAAATACTTGACCTAAATCCAATTTGATTATGAGAAATCTTTATATCATTTGTTAACCTATGTTCAATTACTCTCTCCCATAATTTTAATGTATAATACATAAACTTCACCCAAAAGCAAAAGCTAGTATTAAATTTTGTACAAACGTGTTTCATAATATTTGACTTTCAAAATGATCATAACTTTAGTAAAATTATAAATCATGAGTTGTTTTACATATATCAACCTTATCAAGGGTTGTATGATGTATTAAGTTTACTTTTAAGTAAATCAATTTGCACAACTTCTATCCAAATTACCTTCGAGTTTCATAATTTTTTTTTCTAATCCTTCAACTTCAACGAGTATATAAGTTTAAATGAAAATGTATGAGAGGATATTCTCCGACAAGAAACTCATAGGAGACCAAGTTGTTAAAACATTTTATAAATAAGTTAAAGAAAAGAAATTGAGCAAAAGAAGATGAAGTTTCCTTCCCTCAATTAGAAACTAGATAAAGCATATAGATCAAAAAGATGTGACTGAGTATGGAGAATTATGATTTTTTTCTTTTGAAATGCTGAATGGATGATTGAGATGGAAAAAAACTCATATTAAAGGTTAGGATATATACGGAGAAAATTGAAAGCCACTTTCTCTCAGTATTATAGATTTTACTTTTAATCTATCCATTCTCGTTCATAAATGTTTTGAAATATTTTATCCACCAACCATATTAATGGCCTTTTCAATCATTATACATGAAAAACCACCTACCTTTATTCCATTCATCATCATCAACCTTATGCTAATTATTTTTCACTATAGAGAGTATTATGAGATGTCAATCAATTTTTATAAGCTTTTTCATTAATTTTAAATTTGTTACCCTTCTACTACCTTTTTTTCTTCCTAATCTTAATTTTTGTACTGGCTTTACTAGTGCATTTTCCACCCAAAGTTGAACATCTCTAAACAACCAATTTTCAATACAAATATTTTATAACTAATTTTACTTGATAGGATTCTCCGTAGAAATTAGGGCAAAACAAATATACAACTACGAACACATAAAATAAAAGAAAAACACATATAATTTGAGAGGTAGGCGATCTCTCGCAATTCCTACAATTCGAGAGATAGGAAATCTCCCCTAAACCCTAAACCTAAAACTCAAGACATAATCTTCTGCATAACCCTAACCCTAAGCATATTAACCCCATTTATACTATACAAGAATAAATGTCAAATGACTAAATTACCCTTAGGCTAATAAAGATAAAAATTATCCTTAGGCTAATGTCTAATCCTTGCAACGGTGGTTCTGGAAAAAAATCCTCATCACTCCAAAAACATAACCCCTCGGCCCACTTCTCCTGAATTTGTCTCTATAAGGAGTTTGATTGTCACCCCTGGTCATGAACCCTTATTTCTGTCTTGTGGAGCCTCCCCTATGGATTTACACTATTTGAGCTCTTGACATCGCTGTGGTTGTAGAAGTAAGGTATATTGTTCTAGTTGTGACGCTCTTGTCAGCCTATTTTATTGCATTTTTATCTTCAACCAACTATGCTAACCCAATCCTCACTGTCTGAACAAACGAAGTGATGCTCGAATCTCTGGATTCAACCCTTTCATGATGTTGCCTTCCAACTCTTCTAAATTTGTCTTAAACAGCCGGAAGTATCTCAAACTTCTCCCCATATTTCATAGCGGATCCTTCCTAGAACAATGCAAAAAATTGTTCATGTAAATCCCCTTTCAGTGTGGTTCAAAAGCACTCCAAAAGCTGTTCCTTGGATTCTTCTAATGTCAAATTGGCTGACGTTGTTCTCTCAATTAATACCATGCAAGAGTCTTTCCTTCCAAATATAGAGCTGTCGTCATCAATTCTTCTTCCATCGACCAATTAACAATAAAGTATCTCTCTAGTAATAGACCCAACCACAAAGGCATGGCATCTTGAGCTTCCTTGTGTGCGAGCATCCCCAATACCCTCACTTGCATTTTATTCCACCTATGAAGTGGGGACGCAGTTCCCTTCCTCAACCCATATTGATTTCACTTCTTCCATAAATCTGGTGCGCCCCATAATCACCTCTTCCATCCCCATATGCTCAAGAATCGCCCTCTTCTTGGAAGGTTGCTGCAACAAAAGCACTGGTGTGTTGAGATGCAGCCCTCTACTCGGTTCCCACCCACCATAGTTCCCTATTTCGGGTTGAAATCCTTCAAATTGATCTTCTCTTGCCTCATAGTGCCAGCCATCCCATTTTGCTCATTGCCTCTTGTTCCTGTCGTCCAAATGTCGTGTTATTCCTTCAAAGTGCTGACTGTCGAGTCCATCTCCCATTCCTTTAGCGAATTCCACACCTTCAGATCTACTTGAGGCAGCATAGATGTAACTTGAATCCTTCTGATTGCTATTGCCCGCATTTGTTCCAAATGCCACCGCTCAATCTCATAGCAGGCGACAGAGAGTTGTGTGGCACTTTGCAATCTTTATCATTTCTTCAAGGCTTGCGAACCACCCCTCCATGGCCGAGAAACGCTCCTCTCTTCCAAATATAATTTGACTAACCTCTTCAACTAGCTTTTCCTTCAAAGCATCCATCTTTTTGGCTGCCATTACTCCTAGAAGGTTATGAAACTCCCTTATACTACAATCACATCTAATTCATTATCTATTTCAATCACGAGGAACTTTGCACGTGGTTCAGTGTGCAACTCACGCATCTCGCACGAGACTGGATGACACGATCCTAAAATCCTTGTATGCAAGTTCAGAATAAACGTCCTACAGAACTCCGAAAAACCACAATCCAAAATATTTGTATGTGGGTCGACCAGTAACTCCTGCAACTTGCGCGACATGAAATCCCTATACACGGGTTCGAAGCAAATATTTGGACGTCGTGTGGAACTCCATGAAGCTGCATCATGTACGTGGTCTGGCGTTAAACTTTGGACATTGTGATCCTTTGCTGGCCTCCACTGCAGATATGTTACAATCTGTGTGTATGCGCCCCAATCAAGGAGACGTCGCAAACATCCCCTTCTCAGCAAGCTACAAATCCCGACATCCCCTTCTCAGCAAGCTACATCGCAATCCCGTTGTCCCATTCCCAATGAGCTTTGATCGCAACTGTATCACATTGTTAAGCCACGAAGCGACACACGATTAGGTCTTCCAACGTCGTCTGTAGGGCTTGAGACTAGTGCTGTCAAAAAAAATCATTGTTTGCGAACAATTTATGTTTGGTTTGCGAGAGAGTTCGTGTTCGATTCGTTCAATAAGCAAACGAGACGACACAATTAATTTTTTTTCGTTCGGTTTATAAACAAACCAAACACGAACAGCCATTTGTTTGATTGTGTTTGAATTATTATTGTTCGTGATATAAAATAATTTAAAATACTTATATATAAAAAATTTATCATATTTTAAAAATAATTATATACTCTAAAAATTTATCATATTTTAAAAAATTAAATTCTATAAATTATAATTTGATCTTCATGTTCACCTCTTCGCTTATATTAAATTATATAATTTCGTATTTATCTTTATGTTTGTCTCTTAGCTTAAATTTTATTATATATTTTTTAAATTTATTTAGTTTCTTTGAATAAAATCTAGTTTTTGGAAGTGAAATCTCACGTATTGCCTTAAGGTCTGAATTTTTTATGGATGAAATATGATATTATGGTTTTATTGTGAGTTGTTTTCAGCTATTTTGCATTTGTGTTGTGATTCATACAAGTTTAAGCATTAATTTCACATAGGTTTAAGCTTTTGAAAGATTTCAAACAATTCGAACAATACAAATAAATTTGTAAGATTTCGAACAATTCAAATAATTTGAATAATTCGAACATTTCAAACATTTTAAATATTTCAAATATATTTCAATCAAATCAAATGAACAATAACTTCACAAAAAATTTTAAACACAAGTCTATTTCAAACACACGTAATTTCAAACGAACCGAACACAAACATGAGCTCTGTTCTTTCGTGTTCGATTCGTTTACACCGTAGTCGTATGTCATCGTCCCTTCATTTGTCCCCCCAGATTGCTCAGATCGAGCCTATTTCACGAGGCTAGGTCATAAACGAAATGTTGTTGGATCGCGTAGCCAATCTCCCAGAAATGAGTTGCTCGGATGTTATTTGATAGGATTCTCTATAGAAATTAGAGCAAAACAAAAATTGTATTTCTCCAAGGCAAACAACACAACTACAAATATATAAAATAAAGGATAAGCACCTAGAATTCGAGAGGTAGGCGATCTCTCCAAATTCCTACAATTCAAGGTAGGAAATCTCTCTCAAACACTAAACCTAAAGTTCAAGCACAATCTTCTGCATAACCCTAAACCTAAACATATTAGCCTTGTTCGTACTAAATAATAATAAATGACAAATGACTAAATTGCCACAGGCTCCATCATAACACTACTCAAACCATATGTATTTCACTGCTCATCCATCTTAACATTCTTACTTTTGTGAAACTCATCATGGCTCTCAAAGACTTTTTCTTAGCAAAAACATGAATCCGTATAGCCTTTGTAATCCACTTGTGATTTATAATTTGGGGCATTTACATACATACCATCCAATTCTTAAACGTTGATATTTACATTTATACCATCCAAATCTTTCACATCACATCAAAATTACCAATACGTTAAACTTTCAAATAGTGAAATACACCTTTTCATAAATATGTAAGGTGGCATATATATAAAAATTAAATTTTAGGTGTTAGATATGTAAATACATGGGAATTAAGTGGTATGTGCGTAAATATTTCTTATGATTAACCTTTCAGGTCTTCATGGTAATATTTTATCACATTAGTAAATAGCAATCCCTATATGCCTCTGGCCTTTCAAACACTTAGTTCAACTCTAGAAACTATATTCTCACCAAAATCCGCTACTTTACTATAATAAAGCCAAAGTATTTAAATCAATCATACGTAGGCATAACTTTATTTTTCGATGACTAACTAATAACTATAAATTTTGCATTCATATAAATTATATAATATATACTTTTTATTCTATCACTTAAGCTTCTTATCTTCTTAAATTTGTTATTATTATTATCATTCTAACTTTTAACTTCAGAGATTTCACCAATGAAAGTCAGATCCTTTGCAAATAATATACACTCAAGTGCCTCAATTTCAATATGAGGCATTTACAAACATACCACCCAGTTCCTGTGTATTTCCATATCTAATGCCTAAACTTTACTTTTTGCATTTTTACCACTCAAAATTTTCATTTCACATAAAAAATACCACTATTTTATGTTTTAAAAAGAGAAATATGCCTGATACACCACCAACCAAATTTCATCATACAACACGAATCTTGAGGCATGACACGAATCTCGAGATGATATTTTAAACAAGAAACATTCAAATCTTGATAAAGAATAATCCAGAGCTCCGATTTCAGCAAACTTATAGTCAAACAGACCGGTTTGATAAGACGGACATAATGATTTGAAAACAAGCAAAATCCAAGTCAAACCAAGCCCTGATCAAGTCATTAAACCATAGTTAGAAGATTTTTATGAATACATTTGAAAAGTCAAACGGCTGTCAAATATGACAAGTTTATACTAAAATCGAGCGGCTCAACAAGACGAATCCAATGATCCCAAGATCAGTCAATTCTGACATCATTAAGGCACTCAAATGTCCATTAAACGTCCATTAAACGCCGTATGTTAAACGCCGTATGATCGAAGGAAGCTCTCCGGACCGTCCGATCAAAATGGTTCATATTCATGCATTAATTGCACCCATAATACTATAAATAAAGCCTCATCCCTCTCATGAAGTAAAAAGAAGTCTAGAGAGAGTCTGAGGTCTTGAGGAGAAGTTGCAGTTCAGCATCACCACCAATCGTCGTCCACCACCGCTAACCTCCGTCATCGACGTCGGCGACCCCCGTCGACCGTCGTCGACCACCGCCGACCGTCATCGATCACCACTAACCAGACGCCGTCAGTCGGCGTTATACCTTGAAAAATATAGTTACCTTTTCCCGTCTGTGGGATGAGATTTTTGTAATCATCAATCAATAGTGGATTTCCACAACTGGGCTAGGCCCCATGGTTTTTCCCTTACGGGTTTTCCACGTAAAAACTTCTGGAGTCATCACCGTTTTTTTCTATTTCATATGTCTGTGTGCTGAACTTTCGTACAACGCTAAGACGATAACTTGTTACTCTACCGCCGCGAATTTTTTAGCACGCATCAATACCTTTTTCATGAATGTAAAAATTGAAGTTGAGGAGTTAGATATCTATAAGTAAATACATAAGAATTGAGCTGTATGTATGTAAATCTTCCTTTAATTGTCAATTATAAGACATATATAACCAACAAAAAAAGAAACAAATCTGACATCGATTTTGATGCATTCCCATTTTGTTGAGACACTCCGCCAACATCTCAATTACTTCTGAAATAATAATGACACCATTCATATCAGTAATTAATATTGTCAACATATAGTTAAGAAAAAGAAACAATTTCTCCCAAATGCCTACCAAATTAATTTGTATGCTACTAAGGTATATATCTTTTCAAAGCCAAAAAAAAATTCAGATTTCTTTTCAATTATTGACAATTCAGTTTCGTTAATTTCTCAAGGCATTTATATACATACAACCCAATTCCTATGCATTTACATATCAAACACCTAACTTTTACTTTTTACAGTTATAAAACTTAAATCTTTCATACCATAGAAAAAATACCAATATTTTAAATTCTAAAAAGTAAAATACACTTTTTCATGCATGGGTAAAGTGGTATAAATGTAAAAATTGAAGCTTAGTTGTTATGCATGTAAGCACATAGGAATTGGGCGTATGCATGTAAATCTTCCTAATTTCTTAGAACATAAATAGTCACCAGAGTAGATGTGAAGTACAAAATCCAATTGATGCATCATTTAGATACCATCATGGGTTTCAAAGCAAATATTCAAATAAACTCATAACGTCATCTACAGCTTTATTATATGGCTCTTAAATTGTGTCGCCTACAACTAAAAGCTACAAAAACTCTAGATACCTCTGATATTATCATAGAAAATAGGGGTATTTACTCACATACCACAAAATTTTTATATGTTTACACATCTAACCCAAAAGTTTTTATATTTACATACATGCCACTCAAATATTTGACATTACATAAAAAATACCACTATTACTAACAATTTAGAAGTGAATGACACTTTCTAATGCATAAATTTTAACACAAAAATGTTATAAATGCATATATCAAGCTTTAGGCATTATATATGTAAATACATAAGACTTGTGTGGTATATTGAAAATAGTGGACTTGAACTTCAGAGAATCCAATACATGCATAACTACATGAAAATCGCAAAATCTTATCAACAATCATTGATCAATCTATTATATTGACTGAGAAATATAACCAGCATACCTTAGGCTTGATTTAAGTAAATAGCCTAAGGTTTGATTTAAGTAAATAGCAAAAAGCTAAGGGGTAAATGGCATACATGGAATAGATTCGGAAATAAATGAAGTAAAATGAACACTAACCTGAGGCAATTTACTCATAGGATACGACTCGTCTGCCTTAAAGTAACTCAAAGCTGCATCAACTCCAGCTACTGGACCTTGCCAAGCCTCATTCTGCATACATAATTCATAGATTTCAGAGTACATGGAAAAATGGTAAATCTGTCAAAACAAAAATTAAAGCTCAACGCTGAAACCATTAAAACAGCTGATAAATAATTTGTTTTGCAAGGTACAAAACTGAGGACAACAATTCAAACCATGCTAGAAACATCAAAAAACATTTTGTAACATTGCAAATTTGTCAAAGTCCAAATCCGTAAAGAGATGTTGCAAGTGCTCAAATTAAGCATTTTGAAGCTGTTTAATACTAATGATGTATATGTATTTTATATCTGTGTGTATATAGAATAGACTCTGATTCAGCATACTCATTCTACAATCCATTGAGCTTTTAAATGAGTGAAAATCATTTTTAATGTTCATAATTTAGAGCGAAATGTATGAATAGTCTAAGATTTTTGCGCAAGAGAAAATTCAGTTTTTTATCCAAAAGATTCTAAGGAATTCAAGTAAAATAAATCCAATGGCTTTGGTTTATATTATAAGAACACCATATTGAAACAATTTGATAGCCCTTTTAAATTTACTATAACTTGTCAAGCATTAAAGCAATGGACTCTGTGCAAATCCATTCATTGAAAAATAACATCCTCATAAATTTTCTGTGAAAAAACAAATGGCTGAAAATGATGTAAGATATATAATTACATTAAAATTTTGTATTGCTAAGTTAACCTTAAACAAATAAACACATGAGTAATTTTTCTCATTATCTAGACCATCGAATCTATAGCTAACTTCCAAGTACTTGAGGTATGTATAAATCCTTATGAAAGGTTAATAAATTTAAGGGGATATCTACATACATATACACTATTATTGTGAATTTACATATTTAACACTTAAATTTTGATATTTATTGCTAAATTTGAAATTCGAGCAGCATAGTTTTATTGATAGAAGGAACGATATTTAATAACAAAAGAAAGAAACAAAGACGGAATAAAATAGCTAGAAAAAAAATAAAATAGAATAAAACAAATAGGAAATAAATACTGTAGAAAGTTGTCGTTTGGTTTGGAAGCTGTAGGGGAGCTGTAGAAAGCTGTTGTTTGGTTTGGGAGAGCTGTAGAAGCTGTAGAAAGCTGCTTTTTAGGTTTGGGAGAGCTCTATTAGCTATAGAAAGCTGCTGTTTGGGGTTTGGAAATGCTGTGAGAGTTGTTTGAGGTGTAGAATCGCTGTAAAGCTGCTGTTTGAAGTGTATAACCGCTGTAGGCTGCTGTTTGGAGGCTTACAAGAGTTGTTTGCGGTGTAGATTCGCTGCAGGCTGCTGTTAGGAAGCTTTAGGATCACCTTTCAAAGTTCCTAGCCGCTGTCCGAAATTGTAGGAAGCCTTAGGACTGTTTTTCGGAGTTCCTAGCCGTTGCCCGTAGTTGTAGGAAACCTTATGACTCATGTTTAGAGTTCCTAGTTGTTGGTACGACTCGTTCTGCTCCTTACTGCCTTTTTTTTTTTCTTTCTTAGAGTTCCTAGTTGTTGGTACGACTCGTTCTGCTGCTTACTGCCTTTTTTTTCTTTTTTTCTGCAATTTATTTAAATTTCTTGCACATTATATTATGTTTTGTGAGCTAAACACGCAGCAGGGATAGCGACAGCAGATACGCCAAGTATGCAGGTACATTTTATTTTGTTTATCACAGCAATTTACTCTTGTTATAATATATCATGCAGGCACTGATTACAATTTCATGGACAAAACAAAACAATTTTAAAAAAAAAAAAAAAAAAACATAACACGTCCTTTTGAATTTACGGGAGTCCCTAGGAGGAGGTAACCTACGGTTGCTAACGAGATCTCCCCGATTTAAATGAGTCTCACAACTTATTTAGACTAAATAAATTCAAAAGAAAATAATCGTACCGGAACGAGGGAACTGTGGGATCCTAACCAGTGTCACTCTAATCAACTTTAACCTCTCATAATAACAACAAAACCAAATCCTTGAATCAAACCTGGTAAAACATTTTGAACCTTAGAATTTAGGACTGCTACTACGATGAAGAGTTCGGAGCAATTTTGTGGGCAACACGGCGAGGAGCTTGGAGCGGACTACGAGTGGAGGTGGTCGTCATCATACAACAGCAAAAAGCTTTGAGGCGACTACGAGTGGAGGTGTTCGTCATTATACAACAGCAAAACAAGTCTACACCAGCTAAACTCTTTCCTAGTCTAAATAACAACACATAGGACTTCTAGGTAGCTCATCCAGCGCAACAATCATATTGTGCAACGTAAGTCCTAATTTGTTTTAGGTTCCGAGGATGTCGTTCGTTACGACGTAAACTCTCATCTATTTGCGGGCTATTTGCATAATCAGTTATTATGCAAATATAAGTCTCAAATAATAAAATTGATAGGATTGAACACTCAAATAACACCCTCTCCAAAACACAGTCACACAGTAGGATGATCTGGGAAATCACTGAAACTTCTCCTCAGGATCTGTGACATTTCATACATTTTATTTTCTTTAGACTCATGAAAGAACTGTTCCTACTTGAGCCACTCTCATTTGTTTTTTTTCGCGTCCTATTGTGAAAACCTAAACCTCGAATTCTTGAAGACTAATACCTCTGATCATTATCGAGAGTTTTTTCAAGTGACCTCCATCATTGGGAGGTAATTAGCTATAGGGACTTGCCTCTATAGAGAACTTGGAACCCAGGTAAAATAACTTGGAACCCAGGTAAAATAATCTTTATTTAATCTTTATATTAAATAGGGGAACTTGTCGCTCACACATAAAAGGTTTTAAAAGGTTCGCAGACCAAACATGTCATAAATCTCTTAGTTTGCATGATTGGGTCTATCGCCGAGGTCTACACTTATCTTTCAGAAGGGTGTAGTACTCGCGATATCGGACACGATTATGCAAACTATTGAACGAATAAGATTTATTTGGTCTCATTTTTTGAAAATTAAAACATTCTACTTTCAAAACTTAAACTATATATCTCTTATATTTAAATTAAATTTTAAAAATTATTTTCAATTTTCAAAATAAAAAAAAGTTGACCGACACTTACCTGTAAAAACAATATCATCAACATTTGAAGGAATGTCGAAAGAAGAGTGTGTGATACACTTGAGCCTGAGTAAAACTATGGCCCACGACCATCTTTGTGAATTTGTCGAACCAGACTTTTGGAGACTGTTTTAGCCCATAAAGAGGCTTTCGTAGCTTGCGCACTTGCCTTTTGAAAACAGTAGAGTCAAAGTCAGGAGGGAGTGACATGTATACCTCTTATGTAATTTCTTCATTCAAAAACACATTCTAAATGGAATAAAGATTAATCCAAATCCACTGTAAGGGACAATATAACCCGAATAGTGTTTAACTTAACCACTAGAGCAAATGTTTCCTCCTAATTAACTTCATAAGTCTGTGAGTATCATTTAGCAACCAATAGCGTCTTGTTGCGTTCAAAGAATCCATCATAGTTGAACTTGATGTTGAAAATTCATCGACACCCATAACTTTCTTACCTTGAGGAATATCAATGACGTCCCACGTATGGTTCCGCCGAAGGGCATTCATCTCCTCCATTACTAATGTTTTCTAGGCTGGTACAACAAGAGCAACCTCAATAGTAGTTGGGATCTGGTGGTTCGTTAGGGCGGTAATAAATGCTCTGTAGGTTGGTGATAGACTGTGGAAATAGACATATTTTGTCATTGAATAGAGGGAGCATACCTTACTTGGTGAACTCACCTCCACATGCGGAGGAGGGGTCGTGCTGAGGATGTTGCCAGGAATAGAGTTAATGTCCTGTTAAGGAGAGAGAGTTCCAGAGTAGGAGAATTGCAGCGGGTGCGCCGAGTGCAGACGCGGATAATGGAAGGAGGCAATGGTGCACTCATCAAAAGCGGAGACAAAAACAATGAGTGGAACATCCATAAGAGTAGGATAAGGACGGTTTCTAAGAACCTAAGTTCCACTAACTTAGGGCTGAGCTAGAAAAAATTGGAAACACATTCAAATAAAGAGACATCAACCACTTTTGAGTGTAGTACCAAAGAAAGATACATTTTATGGATCTGAGATCAAATTTACTCTGATTGAGAGCAGTGTTCCTAACAAAAGCAATGCACCAAAAAATCTTAGGGTCTAATATGGAGAAGACCCAATTGACAGAGAAACATGACATCAGAACGGCTAAGGGGGTTCGAAACTTGTGAATTTTAGAGGGGACTCTATTTATGAGATAGGTGGCAGTGAGAATGACATCGTTCGAAAATTGTTTCGGGATATTAGATTGAAACCTAATTGAGCGAGCAATGTCGAGAAGGTGACAGTTTTTCATTTCGGCTACCCCATTTTGTTGAGTGTCAGTGCACGAGTTATGGTGGAGGATCCACTTACTCATTAAGAATTCATCCAAAATAGAGTTGAAAAACTCACGGTCATTGTCGATCTGAATGACCTAAATAGGAGTTTTGAATTGAGTTAAAATGAATGTGTATAAATTTTGGAAGGTGACAGCAACCTCCGATTAGTTTTTTAAAATGTATACCCATGTCATCCGAGTGTGGTCAACAATCAAAGTCAAAAACCATCATTTATTGATGTAGTTGAGAGTGACAAATCATCCACATAGGTTACTGTGAATGGGAGAAAAATGAGTAGAGGTAAGTGTGAGGTGAATGATGACCTCGATGATGTTTAACTAGCTGACATGTCTCACAATTGAAATTAGAAATGTTTTTATTAGAAAAAATCAAAAGATACAAGTTTTTTAAATATTAAAAACTAGGATGACCTAAACGACAATGCAACAACATAATGAGACATTCAATGACTCGAGATAAGTTACAACTACTAAGAGATGTGTCATCACTCTCCGTGCTCTTCTCTTGGAAGTAATAGAGTCCGGCTACCCTCTTCGCAGTTTCAATCATCCTCCCAGAACGACAATCCTGAAAAACACAACCATCAGAAGAGTAATTAGTAACGCAGTCAATATCTTTCATCAACTTGCTGGTCGATAAC